AATTCAAATCTTTTATAAATTTTTTTCGGGATCAGTTCACAGTATTAGTCTCGCGGAAATTCCCATAAAATGATGTGAAAGATAAGTTACTAAAAAAGCTATGGCCTCAAAAATAATAGTAAACTGATCAAATAAACCCATTTCAAACAAAAAATTTAGAATCGATATCGATATTTTGTTTACTTATGAAACAAATCGAAATAAGAAGGCAAGAAACATTTTCTCAGAACACAGATTAAGCTCCATAAATAAAAGAAAATTTTTTCTGAATATAAACTTAGTTTGAAGTTTAAAATTTATTGTTTGATTTGAACTTTAATATTAGACTTCTGTCACAAAATTTTTTTGAAAAGGGAACTCGGAAGTCCAACAATAGTTCGATTCAACAATAATACTTAAGAAAAGTAAATGGAACGAGTAAAATCCTGTTAGTTAAACCACATAAAAATACAAAACATACATTAAGGCAATTCTTAGACAAAAAATGAATAGCTATAACCTGCGGGTTTCATTGAAAGTTCTGAAATTCTACACATTAAATTCTTATTTCTCATATATTTTTTGGTTTAAGTAATATTCTGTAATTATAAGACAGTGTAACGATTATTTGTCTTAATTTTTGTTTAACTCACTTTTAAATAAATATTTATTTTCAGTAAAAAATAATTCTTACTTTTCCTTTTTTTCTTATTTTGAATAAATTTGTTCAATTTAAGAATTAAATTTAATGACTTAATTACGCCTCACCTTTTTTTCAAAAAAAACTTTTAAGATAAATTGTTTGACCTCTTATTTATTAAATATTCATGTAAATCTTTTTCTATAAGAATATTTATTTTAAGTAAAGAAAATTCTCTTATTTCCAGTCTTATATTCGAAATCTAGCGTTATTCTTTACTTTTCGATTAGAAAATATCTTCTAAATTTTTTTCAGCGAAAACTAATTATTATAACTCCTGAGGGAGCCATTAATGATATTGTTAATAAATATCGTGCAAAATAGATAAAATTGTGAAAAAATACAAAAACAATTAAACAAAGCTGGAAAAACTACCAGAAAATAATAATGTTAGAGTTAAAGTTTCTCCCTATGATTTTGAATTTCCAATCGGGGACCCTATTTCAAAATTTCATCACTTGTTTTATTCTTTTCATGAAGAACTTATTTAGATTGAAAGGCCGAAGTAAAAAATTTTTCTCATTTAATTCTAGCGCACTTAATTAATTAATTAAACCAGCAAACAAAGGAAATTATAACCTCTGCGGAGGCCATGCAAAATACTAAAAATTCCGAATTTAAGTCAAATCAAAAGCCAAGATTTTAAAGTTCTCGCTTTTATTTTCCGGTTGCAATTCTAACCTGCGGTTCGCTAAAAAAATTTTTACTAATAAAAGTAACTAAATAAAAAAAAACCGACAATGAGGTCTAGTTTTTATCGATATTTCTACTATTGTCTGCGGAAATTCCAAATTAAAAGAAATTTTTCAAGCAATAATAACTGGGCCTATAAAAAAGGGGATAAATGGATCTGGAAAACGGATCAGATTTACATCCTGGTATGGAACAAAAATCGGACTATGTCAGAGCTAAAATAATATCAAGTTAGTCCGGATTCAGGTCTTACAAAGTATCCTAAATTTTATTAAATTTTATATTATTATTTTACCAAATTTTATCCAAATTATCTAACGGAAAATGTAGTCTTTCATGACCTGCGGGTTTCTTTGAAATAAAAATAAGTTAAGCAAATGAGTTAAGACCTAGTGATACACTTTAAGTTAATTTGTCATTACTCTACAGAGTCAGAAAATTTTTTTAAATAAGACCAAATCAAAAAACTTAAATAACTTAAGATTATAAACTCACCTTACACAAGCAAAAAAAATTTCAAAACATAACTTATGCGGGGGCCTCAAAAAATTGAAAAACAAAATTTTCTCAAAGCACGGATTGGTGGTTATATAAGAAATTAAAATGACAAATTCCTTTTTTTATCGCATGCTCCAAAATTTTAATTCTAATGAGTTAGATAAATTTTTTAACTATAATACAAAATTTTTTTCCAAGAGCAGAGTTGTTGAATTATAAATTATTTCCAGAAAATTCACAAAAATACATGAAAATAGCGGCTCCGACAAAAAGCTTAATAACCTGCGGGTTTCATTATAATTTTAAAATTTGATCAGAATTAAAATCTTTTATCTTCTCTCTCATTCTAAATTTTATTTTTTCAGCACGATTTTTTTGTTATTTTTTCCGTCTCTAAGTACTCACTTGCATAAATTTTCATAAAATAAAATTTTATACTTTTTCAAATTTTTTTCTCTTTTCACTCAATCAAAAATTTTCAAAATAATTTTCAAAGAAAATTATTATTTTCTAGCATAAAGTCCAGAAAGAAAATCTCGTTTTTTTTACACATTTTTGTTACAAAGGATAATGTTTTTATGATTATTTTGTTTCAAAGAATTTTTTTAGTTTCCTTCAACAAACAAGAAGAATCTCCAAAAAGCAGTGAATAAACCCCGTGGGGTTCAATTGAATAATAATTAAAATTAAATGAGCGCAAATAATTTGATTCACTATACATGATGCATGCGACTAAGTACCTAAGTTCTTTTATTAACTAAAAAATAAAATCCAAAAAATACTAGCTTAAAGTTAAGTCCTTTTATCATCCAAATGCTGCACTACGCTTAACGCTTTAATTTTAACAAAAATTGATCTTAACAAAAACCATGAGCCTTCTATATTTCGGCTTCCACAAAAAATTATAGTCTTAAATCTGAATCTGCGCCGCGTCTAGCGCTTTAGAATTTCAGCTTGCGTTAGATTTCCTTAATACAAACCCTGAGGGGTTCATTAAAGAGAATAAAACAAAAAGCTAAAAAAACAACTAAAAATCCTATCAAACAATATATGGCGCAATCCAGAGACTAAATATATCCTTGTAACAAATTTACTTTTCAATACCACAATTAACCTTTAAATTAATGATTATACGGATTAGTGGTTATAAATAACAGCAACAGTAAATTTCAAAATCGAAAATTATCCCGAGGTTTCCTCTCTCTGTCGGTACCAAGTAATTTTGGGGAGCGATATTTTTGCTAGAATCCCACCTATGTACAACTTTTGATTTTCACAATTAGATACTTAAGATCGGAAACCTAATCCCATGGAACATAAGCAAAACTCGATATGCTAAAAATTCAGAGAAAGAAATACTTATAGACCATACATGCTCAGAAAAGGAACCTCAAGAAAATAACAATCCCGAGGCATATGAAAGGCAGGTAAAAATCAGATATGATCTTAGAAATAAAAATCCTGAATACATTTCTGACTAGGCAGCTTTAACTTAAATCCATCTAATAATCTCCGAATATCACCATCTTTCCTTACTAGTTCTTTAAAATTTGTTTATCTCAATGTTAGCAAATTATTAATTTGCTTCAAAATATAAGTCCTGCGGGACTCTCTCATGTAACAAAAAAAACGAATGAGTGTTTTACGAAAAATTAAATCCTGAGGGATTCATTCATGTAATATAAAACATAACAAGAAGTGGACCAGGGACGGTCCATTGGAAGGTTAGAGGTGTAGATGATGGTCAAATCTTAACGACCAGGGACGGTCTATTGGAAGGTTAGAGGTGTAAGGCGGATATCATCCTAAAAACACGTGAAGAGCAATGTCGCTCTAGTTAACGGAAGTTTGCAGGAAGGTGCAGAGAATATTACAAACGGCCATTCCCAGAGCGCAATTAGCCACCTATTATCTAAGTTTATTATCGCCACTAACTTATCTCTGGGAAAGCAATAAGGAAGTTGGCTGGTGCATATAAGTTCTAAAGGAATAGGCAAAGGTGGATCACTTCTTCATTCATTCAACAGAGTTGCCGGCCGGCCAATCCATCCTTGTAGGGAAGACGTCTCCCTACATTCCCCCACTGCGATTCACTATTTCTATACTCTGCGGAGTTCACACATGTCTGCAGCATGCGCGACTTTGCTTATAACATCAACTAACTAACGAGGCACTGGGGAACGGGACCAACCGCTTTACTGTATTTTAGTTCACAAAATTATTTATTTTATTTCCGATGTTTTTTACCTTTATACAAAATATATACAGCATTTATTAATTTTTTTGTTTTTTCTAACAATTATTTCTACACAATAACCTATGACTCTTTATAATTACCTAATTATTATTTTATTCTTTATTTTGACCTTAAATCATTAATTTTATTTTTATGCCATCCTTTTTCATAAAATTATTTTTCAAAATTATCTGAAATAATTATTAAATTTTTATTTTTATTTTGAAAGTTTCAGGGTAGGAAATTTTCTTCTTTTAGATATTTTGAGCATTTATATGTCATTCATCTATTTAGTCTATTCTTATCAATAATGTTATCTTCAGTTATTTTACACGGGTCATTACTTCCACCATATATTTTTTTTATTTATTCCCTTTCATTATTTTTAATTAAAAAACAACCAAAATTTAAATGAAAATTTTATCAATTTATTTTTTAATTATATTATTTCAATTAACAATAACAAAAGAAGCTAGACAACCTAAATTATTTAAAATAAATTTGGATAAACCACCTAGGGAAAGATGGAAATCTGTTATAGAAAAGTATAAAGATAATGTAATACCTGAAATTGCTGCAATAGCTAGGTTAAAAAGAGAAAAATAATTTGATAACTTACCATTAAAAAAATAAACAGATCCTATATTCCAACAAATTTACGATCTCCAATATTTGGGTTTTTTGCTAGAATAGTACATTTGTTACCACATGACTATGGGGAAGAAATAATAGGTATTATTTAAATAAAAAGAGATTTTTCTTATCAACTTTCTGATAAAAAATCTGAGAAATGTCAAACTTTCAAATATTCCCCGTCTGTGAGTAATAAAGCTAAATTAATACATATTTATAATAGAATTAAGGAATCTAATTGGTAAGGGATAGTTTTTAAATATGTATTATGACAGAGCATTTGACTATAAACTTTTGACATTTTCCGATTATTATCTCTCTCCGTCTCTCATTCCGCCCATTCCTAATAAAACCCAATTTTGTGATACAGGGATGGCTGAGAAATTACGTGATACAGAAGTATCACTGGGAGAATTGGTTGTCTTTAACATCTTATATGATCTGACAGACTTTTCACATGGCCCTTTTCTCAAAAATAATAAATCGCTTAGTCTCGGATGCACATCAATTGTTGCTGCACAAAATAATGGGAAAATATTACATGGAAGAAATTTGGATTATGAAATGACACAAGTACTTAAAGATGCGACTATTTTAGTGGATTTTGTTAAAAATGGAAAGGTCATAAATTAGAATCTTTATTTTATCATTTTATATTAGAAATTAGTATAATTTCAATTACTAAAGAAGGAACAATGAGATATATCCAGCTATCTAAATAAAAAAAGTTTTTACAAAATTTGATCATTTTTACAAAACTAGTGTTAAAAATTACAAATAAATTTCTAATTTTAGGTACATTACACTGCTGTAACATTTGTTTTGGCAGTAGGAATTATTACTGGACAAAAGCCCAACGCCTTCACTGTCTCCCTAAATGCTAGATGTAAGTAGAATTTTTTAAACCAAAAATTAAAATATATTCAAAATATTTTTAAAGATTTATTTATCCCCTTTTTAAAGACAGTGGAGGACCTATACTCAACATTTTGATGGAATTAATTACTCGTTTTAAACACCCCGTTGCTTTACAAATACGTAAAACTTTGGAATTTGAACAAGATTATGTCTCTGCATTGTCTCAGCTTAGTTGGACATATATGATAGCTCCTTCTTATTTAATTGTCGGTGGAAAAGATGGGGATGGTGCTGTTATTACAAGGCAAATACATATTTTTGTTTGGAAAATTATTTGGTTGGACTGATATTTCCGTTGATCCACACTCTTATGTAAAATCTTTGTGAGGTTGAGAGACAAATTATGGAAAAATCAGACAATACCTTTTCGAGATTAAATGTTGGAGATTTTGACATAAAGCCCTTTCAAGGTCATAAAGCCCCCCCTCCTCCCCTCCTCCTTCCCACTTTTTAATCATTTTCCTAAAATAATTTAGAATTTAAAGGGACAGACTAGGCGCTGTTGATGTCTTCACATTAGATTATAGGCATTACCGATGGTTTTTGCTTGAAACAAATTTTGACCATTGGAAAAAATCGGGCGATAATAGAAGGTGAAGAACTCTCTTTAAAATTAAAAATTTTATTCTTTTAATATTTCAGAAAATATGGACGTAAATATATGAAGAAAATTGGAAAAGAAAATTTAACAGCAAAATTAATGTTTGAAAAAGTTCTCAGTAAATGGCCTATTAAGAATGAGTTATATTGAAAATTTAAAAATAATAATTATTTTTTAATATTTTTGTAGATTAACTATTAGCTCAACAGTTATGTCAGCAGAAGACCCTAATTTAATATATAATTGGACCGTTGTTTGGGGGAATTGAAATGATTTTTATTTTTTATTTTGTTTAAATTTTATTCTGAATTTAAATTACTGAGTAAAGTAAATCGGTTTTATGATTGAATAAACCCCCAGTTTATATGTAGACGAAGGGACAGTTCGTGCAACCTATATTTTGGATGTGTGCCTAAACTGATTTTAAGGGGCAAAAGACAAAAGGCTAAAACCAAAAAAGGAAAAAATCGGCGAAAGGCGAAACAGGCATATCCTTGCTATATTTGTTTTTGACGAAAGGAGCAGATTTCAACATTTAGGCTCGTTCCGGTTTCCGACTTTTCCAATTTCCGATACCTCCTAGCATTAGTTAATGATTACTCACCTCTGATCATTTATTTAATTCCAATTTTATATGATGTGTTCGTCTGTGTTTGCTTTAATTTTATAAAATATTCTGAGTCTGCTTCTTTCATATATTCGTTTTAAATCAAAAAGCAGCAGTTTAAAAATAGGAATAAATTAAAAGAATTCTGTTAAATATAAAAATAAAAAATAATTCTTCGTTCTTAAAAAAATTTTCATTTATTTTAACTTATAAAAATATAAAAAATATTTTTTTCGTTTAAAAAAAATAAGAATTTAGTAGATTTTTATTACTAAAATTCGGAAATTCTGACCAAACTTTGAATTTCCAAAAAAAAGATTTCTTAGAGGTTATTTAAAATTCAGATTTAATATTTCATTTTTAAAAACAGATAAATTTTTAAATTAAAATTTCTAAAAAAATGTCCATTATTTTCTTAACTTTATTATTTTCTCACCTTTTTATTGCTAAATTATATGGGGAAGAAGAAACAACAGAAAATCCTTTAACAGATAATTATTTGCTTGATTATTCTGAATTAACTACAAATTCTCCTTTGGAGGGGGAAGAGGAAGTTTATTTTAAAATTAAAAATTATTTTATAATTTCACAATTTTCAGGCTGAAACTGAACCAAGTCGTTCTAAACGGTTAGCACCAGAATTATACAATAGACTTGCCAAAAAGGGATATTTTATTCACTTTTGATGAGTATTTTAAAGAAATTTTTGGAGAAAAATTAATTTTATTAATGAATAAAAAATAAATATATTTGAATTGTTAAACGAGATATACTACTAAATAAATAATAAATTTTTGCCATAAATTTTTTAATTGAGTGCTGCAAAAAGAAAAAATAGAATCCTACGTTTTAAAAATATAAATTTAAGATTTATATTTGTGTTTACTTTAACATAACTTAATATTTAAGTAAATTAACCTAACTTCTTTTATCAAAGAATTCCAAAAATAAATTAAAAATAATTAAATTCTCTTAGATTTTAATGAAAAAATTTATAAAAAATTTGCCCAAAATTCTCAAAAAAATAAAAATTTAATTTTATAAAATTTACTTTTAAATAAAATAAGAATTAAAATATAAAATATTTGACCGATAAAAATACTAAAAATATGCATTTTAAACCTTTCTTGAAAGTACTTGAGTAAAGAATTTACAAGTTTCTCACAAGATATTTTAAATATGTATGTATATTTTTCTTTTGTGTTTTTCGAAGTTTAGATTACCAAAAAAATAGTGGTTATTTTTTCTTTTAAAATAAATAATTTAAATCTGATTCAATTAAATTAAATAATAATCCTAAATGTTGTCCAAATACAATAGATACTTAACTTCAATATTCTGTCTTATCTATCAAGGTAAGATGTCTCTCACCAGTCAGATTAATTTTAATTTATTCTGACAGTTCTTACTTGTTCACCACCCCCACCCAATCCATTTAAAAATACTGAAAATTCACCTACTTACAATCACCAAATATCAAATAAACTTCTTGGGGATAGAACCTACCAACAACAGAATAAAACAGCAATAAGATTTAATGGTAATTAAGCTAATGCACCCCAAAATTTTCTTTTTATTCAAATATAAGATCGTGTCAGTGTTCTCTCAGGCCCCATAAAAATTCCAGAAGAGCTCCATTGCTACGATTTTAACGACAAATGCCGTTGGCGAAATATGGATGGGTTGTTGGTAGATGAATTAGATTGGTATCAAGGTGCTGGATTTTTAGACGAAAATAGACTTAGGTACTTGAACTTAGAGAAATGTTTAAAAAATGTTAATTATAGGCTAACAACGGGAACTCATTTGCTACCTGGTTTTTTATTCAAAAATTATTTCCACATACTTAAATTTTATTTTAGACGGTTTTTATGGTATAGCGGCATCTGACAAAGTTGAACTTCCTGGCACAAAAGCCATCCTTGTTAGTGATGTAATTGGTTAGAAATCTGAACTTAAATCTCCAAAATCATTAATTATTAGAGTGCCAAAATGGACAGGCAAATCTCCGCTTTCAACATTGGACAAGTCCTGAGGTTGGACTAATAATTAACTAAAATACTCTTCCTTTATTATAGGTTAGAATAAGTGAGTTTTCTTTTATTTCAACGGAAAATAATTTTTTTCTTGAAAAAGCTGTCTGTGTAAAGTCTGTTCTCCGGCTTTTTCCATACTTTGATTATTGCAGTAAACCAGTGGAAAACGGAAACGGACCCGTTTTTCTAACACTCCCCGAGTTAAATGCCCCAATGCAGGTAAGTTTATGCTTATTATGGCAATAATATCGGCTTTAGATATTTATTCAAGCACATAATTTTGTGTTTAACAGTGCTGTTTTACATGGAGGTTTTGCAATAATTGACAATTTAGAATATTTTGGGGAGTTTTGTGACCGAGAAAATAATAAAGTTTGGTTAGTAGTATACCTTCATTTATTTTAAAATTTCAATTTCAGCTTCTATTCCCCCCACCAAACAAATCCGGATTATTTAGAGAGAACAGAAAATTTTCAACAGATGCCAAAATTTCGTCAGATAATTCTTCTAAGACAAACGGGGTTCTTTCCATTTTTGACATGATTTTTCGAGGAAATTCTAATAGAGATGTCCAAATTAGTCAAGAAAAAATCCAAAAAGAGATCCTCATTACCCCAACATTACTTCAAACAGTAAATGAAACTCTTAATGAACTTTCTGATAAACAAAGTGATAAACAGCCTACAATCCCTATCCCTCAACATGGACTACGTTCAATTAATATTTTACAAAGAAAAATGCCAAAAGTTTCAGAAAAAGGTAAATGTTAAAGGATAATAATAACTTAAAAAGTATTTTAAAGAATTATTTCCAAATACATGGAGGGATCCTGGAAATTTGAATTCTCGTAAGGCTCAGTTTGATATGGGAATTTTTGAAAGGAGAAACAAGGATTTGTTGGGGCGAATAAAACATCTTTGATAACCCTTAATTTTTAAAAAGTTTATAAATTTATTTTTTGTAAATAAAATAATGTTTGAAAATTATCAGTCTGAAAGTTGTTTGAAAAGTGAAAACTAATTGAAAAGTTAAATTCTGTTCCTGTTTTTTTCTCCTATTCATTTGTTGTGAAACAATCATCCTGACGTCCTTCAGTCAGCATAAAATAATAAAGAATAAGAAATAGAGCAAAACTCAACGGATAAAATACACGGCAACAATTGTCTAGATAACGCCCTATTTTGTGATATTTATCAGCTCTTTCTGACATATCCTCTCGGGCTTCACGGCTTAATTCAAGTGTGCCTCTTCGTTTCTTCTGAGCCCATTTTCTCTCAAATATTTTTAAAATTAAAACGTTTCAATCAAATTTGAACTACCAATTGATTTGCTCGTTTATCAAAACCGATGACAAAAAGTGTTTGTAAAAGGGTGAAGAAAACAAAACCGGTCACAAATCCAAACCATAAATCTATTGCCTTTAAATATGATACACTTGGCAAATGTTCGCGAGCTCCAGCCGATTCAGTAGAAAGTGTTAATAATACCTTGAATATTTTAAGGGAAATTTAAGTAATTAAATCTCTCTCACAGTAATTGCAACACCAATTCTCCCTTCCATAAATTCCTCTGGTAACCAAACCCCTACCCAGGAGAACATCAAAGCAAGTGAAGTTGGAATGTATGTCTGAAGATGGGAGAGTTTTGAGATGTTAGATGTTTTTTTTGGGTAAATTTATTTACTTGAGCGATGTGAAAACCAACATCACGCTTAAGCCTTTAATTTTTGTTAGTTGAAATATTCACGTAAATTTAATGTTCACCTAAAAATTGCACGAAGACAAGCAAATTCTCCACTTTTTCGAGATCTATTACACTAAAAATTGAATATTTTTTAATAAACATCAATTCCAAACCTTTGCAGGCTCGTAATTGTCAATATAAAGTTCTGGAAGTCTAACCTCCGGATTCTTATCAATTGCATTTTTTCTATTAGAAAACCACTCGAAACGAACAGTCGGCAATGGATATGCAACTAAAAATCAGAAATATGTTTAGAAATATGTTTTCATTTTTATGTCTAATATAAGAAGTAACTGAAAACCTACAGGATTTAATTTGAAGCTCACATGTTTGCTTATCTGTAAAATTATTATTTTGATAATTTGATACAAGAAGTACCATGCGGATATTTACAAAGAACTAAATTACAGGCTGGTTTCAGCTTTATTCTGCAAAGATTAAATAAGAATTAAAACTTACATGTCCATCCCTATTTAATTTCATTATTCTTATACTTTTATTACCTCGTTTCGTAAAGAACCAGCCCATCATTAAATATACGCATCAGGAAATTTAAAAAAGTAACTTCATGAAATTCAGCTTCCTTTACATCAAAGAATCTAATTCAAATATTTAAAAATGATTATTTTCTACACTCACGGATCTGGTCTCCATATTTTTTCCAAAATTTCCTCTTCTTTAACTAAAATTGTTGTCAAACTACTCACTAAACGTGGATCTCTCCATGACATCAAAAATTTATTTTTATTTCAGGTAAAAATTCAAAAATCAAACCATTAAGTATATGTCCATGTCATAATCCTTTTTTAAAGTTTTTTTTAAAAAATATTTTTTTAAACTTTCACCATTGTACTTGTCTGGAAATTTGATATAGATTCTATGTAGATCCCAAATCGAACTACTACAGCACTTCCTTGAAAGACAATTGGAGGGGAGAATGGATCATATTGGTTCTTTGTCAAGACCGAAAATTAGATTAAATATAAGATAGTTTAGAAAATAAAATTAAAATCCCCAAGATTAAAACCAAAGCAAATTCAACCCAACCGGAAGAATGAAGCTGCCCCCAACTTGTTTATCCATATCTTTTGTTCTAGAGAGAATATCATCCACCTACAAATTTCTCTACTTTCAGATTTTATCCAATATAAACCTCTGTGTCATTTCTCAATTTTTCCGCTAATTCTGTCAAATTTACACCAGCACTCTCCAGTGCACTTATATTTACCCCTATCGGTCCTTCAATTTCAATACCTTAATTAAAATAAATAAATAAAAATCCGCCTTTCAAACCTTCAAATTCAGATGCGTTGAATGCCTCAATCGCTGTCGGAACATAATCAGAACAAATTCCTTGCAAGGCAAGACCAACTCGTTGATGACGATTATATAGTTTTGTATCAATTTTAAGTCCTAGGGCATTTGATACATCGGCCGAAGAGAATACCAATAATGGACTGAAAGCAACAAACTAATATATTTAATTCAGTTCAAAAGCGACCTTGACTCGTCCGAAATATCCAATTCTATTGGCTTTCTAGATATTCCGTCTGTCGCAGATTCGGTCCGATTTCTGATTTCCTCCTCCATTTCTTCTTCAGTCTTAACAATTTTATCCTCCTTTTTCTCCACAACTTGTCTCGTTTTTATTTTCTTTTTCGCATCATTTTTAGTATTATTTTCACTATAATATTTAAATTATAATCGTTTCGGATCATAACCTGTTTTTGCCTTCAAAGGTATAGTTCCATCCGATAAGTTTGGTCATTCGCTTCTCAAGATTTATTAGCTTTAAATATATTTAATTTAGCAGTTTAATACTAATCCTTACAGTAGGTGTGTCTGGGTGAAGCTCCTTCTAAATTAAAATAAGTAAGGCATTATAAATGATCATACTCTGAATGGTTCACAAATAATAGAATCATTGTCAACTCCTATCGCTTTGGCATCTTCTGGAGATGTATAGAAAAAATCGCGCTCGTGTTCACCACATATCTCCTGCCATAATATACCAATTGCCTTCAAAAAATTGTTAATAACAAACGTGATATAAGATACGCTTAGACCTCGAAGTTTTGATTATCAAAAAGTTCATCAGCTACAGAAGAAGGAATCAAACTCAAAAGTCGATCACCTTTCTCCAAAACTTCATACTCAACCAATTCATTGATAGACCTTCCGCCCATCGTCTGATTCCCAATCTAAAATAGTCCGAACATCTTTTTCGCTCTTCATTAATTACTTGATTCCTTACCTTTAGCAATCGAAATTTCTCTATATTGCTTGAATTATCTTTTGCTTTCCAGAATCGTTGCCATGTGATACATTCAGGAACATTACTCATATTAAGATTCAAATCGACAGCTTTGAATGTGGCATCTACCCAAAATACTTTCTTCCCTTCGGCTTCTAATAAGGACGTTAATGATTTCTGGAAAACAAAAAACCTGGCAATGCGGAGAGGTTTCTCAGCATTTCTTTATCATCAAGATATAGTTCCTGTTCATCTTCTGTAATATTGACAGCACTATCAAGTATTTTCATTGCCATATCTGAGAGATTCAATACAGCAACAGAGTAATTAGTTCATAAGTATACTAACCTTCTTCAAAGTTTTTTACTTCCATTATTTCAGTATTATCATTTAATGTTTCATAAGTAAGCTTTTTCATCTCCGCCGTGTCGTTTTTGATAGTTTCCTGGGAGAAAACAGGTTTCAATACTGATTCTTTAGCCACTTCTTTATCTTCAACAGCTTCTTCTAAAACCAAACCCCCCATTCCAGGTCGCGCTTCAAATTGCCTATTTTTAGAACTAGTACGTCGTTTAGACGAAGTGCTTGAGAATATAAGTAAAATCACGAAAAATTGAAAAATAAAGAACATTTTTTTAAATGTATTTGATCATTTGGAATTAATGAAAAGCTGAAGGATGAAACCAAAAACTGGTTTCGTTGCTGTGTATGGTCGCTATGATAAATTCAACCATATAACCACACGTTAGTTAACTCATGCGCATGCGCAAATGCTCAAATTAAATTGCGAACTCGAATTAAAAATTATAAAGTATTGGGCAACAAGATTATCGATAAAAACTAATCCTAATTGTCCAAAGAAAAAATCCCTTAAAAATCTATAAGAAATGTAATGGATACGGCTCGAAACGCAGTACAAAATTCCGCCGGTGCAGAATTTTGTACAGAATCTTGGTAATAAAATCATATAAATAACCTTATTCTAATGAATTAAACAGAAACCCAAATGCCAAATTTTCCTTCAGCCTTCCATTCCTTAAAATATAGGCGCATTACGTATAAAAGATTCAAAAAATTCTTTTTGCAGTCGTTTGGGATAAATTGTCATTTTAAACAATTTTGGCGTTTTGTATTTAAAAAAGTTCGCGATTATTTAAAGTCGATTATTTTTTAATCGACCCTTTTCTTAAGAAACGTGGATCTGATTTTCGTTGAGTCGTTTTTCTATTCACAGATCAAAGAAAGAAATGTCAACGACAACTGAAGAAATTCAATCTTCTTCCGCTCAAAAACGAAAAGCTGAAGATTCTCCTGATTTATCTCCTAATTCAAACAAAAAACAAATTGAAGAATCTGATATTGTGCCAAAAACTCCAGAAGAATTAGATTCTTTGTTAATTCCAATAGATTATGCACGTCAACTTCTTTCCACACCAAAAGAAAGGTTGCCGTTAAAAAAGCTTCGATTAATTTTTGTTGGCTGTTGGATGCGTTATCAGGCAGTTAGGGATAGATCGAAGGTTTGTTTACGACTTTTATGGCTTTGTTTAGATTAAAAATAACAGTTTTGTTTAGAACCCTTCAGAAATTTTAAAACAAAAATTTTTCTAATTTTTCTATCTTAATTTTATTTTTACTTCTCTAATTAAATTTTTTAAAAATACCTTCTAGAATTCGGTTTATTCTAACACTAAATATTTCTCAATTATTTTTCAGAATCCTCTAACAAGTTTCTTCATTGATAAAGTTATTCACGTAAATCGTGATGGATTGCGATTCAAAAATACTCGCGAAAACAGCTATAGAAGCATTATAAAGCTAAAGGAATGTGTAAATCCATTAGACGATGCTGCTTTCAAACTTTGGTTAGATGATTTGAGTAGCTGGGTTTGTTTAGTTTCTTTTAAATATTTGACGGAGTGTTTTGTATAAATTTTTGTTAGATGGGAGTGTCTAAATATTTGTGAAAGAAATTATGGGCAAAGGGATGGGGCTGATTGTGAGCAAAAGGGTTTCTGACTGACCTCTGAAACATTTTTTCATTTTTTTAATATTAAATTCTTCTCAGAATATTCCTGTCCCTTCCGTCCATGAATTAAAAACTAAAAAAGAAGAAATTGAAAGAGCAATTGAGGAGTATAAATCGGACAACCTAAACAATTCAAATGAAGCATTAGAGGCTGCTAATTGTGAAAAGGAGGCTGAAACAAGAATTGAAATAAAAAATGAAAGTGTTTCTCAAATAAATTCTTCTCTTCAACCTGATGATGGGAAACAGACAGAAACAAATGTTTTGAATGAAAATACTGCTAATTCTACTCTACAATCAACTTCTGAAGAACAAGAACTTCCTAATGGTTTAACAAAAGAAGATATTGCTAAAATGGTTTTTTTAATTTTTTTTATTTCTAAAGTAGTGTTTGTGTTAATCTAAAATAATTAGATTAAAATAATACCTAAAAGTGGACTTTTCTTGACGTTTACTTTAGTCAAATAACTTTTCGTTAACCCTTCTCGGCGGGGTTTTTGGGCTGTTTTGTATTCTTTTAACAAATTCTCGCCTCGTTTCATTTGATTTTCTTTATATTTTCTGTTTTATTTAAGGGTAATTGACCATGTCAATGATAGCTCAAGCACAACAATTTTTCCTATTTTCACTAAAAATTTTCTCTAACTTTTATCAAGAAAATTTAAAAAAAATTTTATTTGAGGTAGTTACAATGGACGATCTAATCCGTTTACTCGATTATGGCAAAGATGTGTTTGAACGTGTGGCCACCGGTTTCTTTGTCGAAATTCGTGCCCCACCTAATCCGAATAATAAAAAAGTTTTTTTTAATTTTATTTAAATTAAATAAATTTCAAGGCAATTTCGCAAGGCAGAGGAAGATTAATAATTTATTTGGATCAAATTATTGGTGTTAATTGGATGGGAAAGCCGTATTTGGTTTTTTAGAATTTTTCTAGTAGAATTTATTTTTATTTAGGTTTACGAAAAGCCAATGACTTTAAGTCTCAGATTTCGCCACTTTAGGGATGAAAAATTGAAGCTGTTACCTTTTAGAGATCGTAACACCTTAATTGATCAAAAAGCAATAGACCAATGGCTATACGATACAGTTGAATGGGTTTGTAAATTTCTAATCGATTTAGATATTTTCAAAAAGTGAAATCATCTAGTCCTTTTGTTTTTTCTGAATTTTAGGCAGAAATCACATCTAGAATTTTTACATATTTCCTTATTTCCCTTTCTATTAAGTTAAAATCTATATTTAAAATCGATTCTAACTTTGCCTATTTTAATTAAAGCACTAATTTTTTATTTCAAGTCTAATATTTATTTTTTTTTATTTTTAGGAAGAAGAATTTCCTACAAAAGAATTTATTGAACAAAAATGCGAAGAACTCAAAAATGTTTTTGCCGAACCACCAAAGGGACCGCCTATTGATTTAATGAAAATGGTTGATGGTGACAACTCGGCAAGACAATTAAGGAAGATTATGGCTTGGCAAAGAGAACAACAGGTTTTTTTTTAAAGAAATGAAAATATATTGAAATTTAAACTTCTTTTGTTAACTGAAATTTCCTTCATTTAGGCGAAATTCTTTATATTAATTTCTCATTATTTAATTTTAAGGATGTTAATCGCCCCAGACATTCATCATACAATCCTCCTCACAATCATTATTCTTCATATTCTGGGCCGTACAATCAACCTCCTTATTCAATGCAAGGACCACATCGTTATCCACAACCTTTGAATCAGGCATATCCGCCAAGGCCGTCTTATGGTATTCCTCCATTGGCTCATAATTATAATCAACCTAATTATCATCAATATGGCCATCCACCAATGGTAACAATTTTTAAAATTTTTAACAGTGTATCTCTGAAAGATTGAGATTATTTGGAATAGAATTTCAATTTTTGAATGATAGAACTTGAAATATTTAAAGAAAACTAATTTCTAATACATATTTTATTTACTTTCAGAACCGTCCTTATTATCCAAATTCAAACCAATATCCAGCTTATCCAAGACAACCCACATATGGACAGCGACAATATTATTGGTGAGAGAAATGTTAGACAAGGGATTTTTTTTGGTTATTTTTTAAATAATATTTGGAATTTTTTGATGGTTATTTTGAATGTTTTTGTGTTTTTGAAGAAATATTTTTTCTAAAAATTTTGTGGATGACAGAAACTGGAATATTATTTTTTATCTTTACATTTTCTAATTTTAATTGCATTTTTATTTAATGTATATTTATTTTTCTAATATGGTTAAAATTATTTTGTTTAGAATTTGTGTTTGTCACAAAATTAATTTTTTAGATTGGGGAGATTTACTAAAATTATACCCTTAAATTGAGAGAAATTATTAAAATAATTTTGATATCCATATCTTATGATGAAGATTTTGTGTGATTTTAGTTGATATTGTAGTGAAAATACATATCTTGGACTATGCCTACTTGAAGGCGTTTGCACTAAGGTTGGCGGTTCCGGGTATCCGGAACCGAAAAAACCTCGGATATCCGGAAATTTTCGGTTCGGATACCGGTTCCGGATCCGGATATCCGAAATCTTCGGTTCGGATACCGGTTCCGGATATCCGAAATCTTCGGTTCGGATACCGGTTCCGGTTCCGGATATCCGAAATCTTCGGTTCGGATACCGGTTCCGGATATCCGAAATCTTCGGTTCGGATACCGGTTCCGGTTCCGGATATCCGAAATCTTCGGTTCGGATACCGGTTCCGGTTCCGGATATCCGAAATCTTCGGTTCGGATACCGGTTCCGGATCCGGATATCCGAAATCTTCGGTTCGGATACCGGTTCCGGTTCCGGATATCCGAAATCTTCGGTTCGGATACCGGTTCCGGTTCCGGATATCCGAAATCTTCGGTTCGGATACCGGTTCCGGATCCGGATATCCGAAATCTTCGGTTCGGATACCGGTTCCGGTTCCGGATATCCGAAATCTTCGGTTCGGATACCGGTTCCGGTTCCGGATATCCGAAATTTTCGGTTCGGTTCCTAGAATTAGGGAAAAATGAAGAAATCTTGCCCAATGGCCTTTCAAACTTTTCAAAATTTTCGCCTGCTCGCCGAAAAGGGAAGAATCCTGGCATAGGGATCTTCCAAAATTCTCAAAATTTTCGCCTGCGGCGCAGAAAAAGGAAGAAAACTGGCTTCTGGACCTTCCAAAATTACAAAATTTTCGCCTGCGGCGCTAAAAAATATAAGAAAATTGACTTAAGGACCTCAAAATTCTCAAAATTTGCGCCAGCGGCGCACAAAGAGGAAGAAATCTGTATATCTGTGAAGAAACCTCTATATCTCTCGTCATTACCAACCTCCGGCTCTTAATCCACCAATATCCCAATGTCTCTATTAATTCCCCAAAATCGCTCATTCTTCACATAAATAACACTGTTAATCATAAATTCCCTCAATACCTCTGTTAATTCCCCAAATCCATTCATATTGATCTTAATCCCTTTATATCATCCATTGGGACTCAACTTTACAGAGCCGCAGGCGAAAATTTTGAAAATAAAAATTTCGGTTCCGGTTCCGGATACCCGAAAATTTCGGTTCGGATACCGGTTCCGGTTCCGGATATCCGAAAATTTCGGTTCGGATATCGGTTCCGGTTCCGGATATCCGGAGATTTCCCAGGAACCGCCATCCTTAGTTTGCACCGTTTTTAATTGCATTTTTGCTAAATGTTTGGTCTGTAAAATATATTTAGATATGCTGAAAATCAAAAAAAATATAAATAAAATGATTCTTTATCGTAATTTTTCTCTGAGCGAGGTCAAATGAGCTTGAACGTTAAGTTGAAGTTAACTCGGCTATATGAAGTTGAATTTTCTAAATGTTACTTTAAAAATCAAGGACTTTATTGCCACATAAGTCACCTAGATTCCCTCATGACCAAATTTCTTAAAATTTTGAACTACTTTCCGAAGATAATGTAGCCAGACTTTCCAAAGAAAGAATATTCCATTGACTTGTTTTTAACTGTAACGGAAGCTTCCATATAATTTCAACAAAACAATATAATTACATATTTATTGAATTAAACAATACAAATTAATTACGTTCCAGACATCAAATAATATTTTTGCCGTATTTAATGTTGTATTACATTTTATATTTTCTTAAAAAATATTGTTGCTGGCTAATCAAACAAAATTGTTTTAATTTCTGCTTGTTTTTATTAAATAACAATAGTATATATAAAAGATAAGATTTAATATTTTTATTTCAAAAAATATTAAATAATAATGAATAATAAAATAAAAATAATTATTATTTTATTTTCCTCTCTTTTTATTTTTAAATCTAATGCTATTTGGTATTGCTACTGTAAGTAATATCTAAAGCTGTGATAGTTAGGCAAGTAAAATCAGTGAAATAGGCGCCTAAATTAGGCACCAAAAAGCCAAAAAAGGCACAAAAATAGGCATGTAAAAAAGGTTATCAGGCCTATAAAATTAAGAAAAAAGCAAGAAAATATCCATTTACTCATCATTTTCTGTAGCATAAACTACTTATTAAACTCTTTTGCCAATTAAACGACATTTTGAATCATTTTTTGAAAAAATGGAGTAAATTTTTTTTAAATGTTGATAATCGACAAAATGGAAATCTCGTCCAACACACAAAACGCCGCACCCCAAAACGTCCCAAAACCAAATCGTCCCAGTTCAAAATGTCCAACAAAGTAAAAATAAACAATTTAACGAACTAAAAATCATTAATGGGACTATGCACTGATTTTTTCCAATTTTGGACTGATTTTTTTAGATTTTGCACTGATTTTTAGGCAAAATTTCGAAAAAAATTGCTAAAAAGGCAAAAATAGTACCAAAAAATTCAAAATAGGCAAGAAGGCACAAAAAGTCCAAAATAGGCAGAAATAGGCAAATTAAAAGTCGTGCTAGACTCTTCGGGCCAAGCTAAAAACACGTTTTTTGAACGTATTACATCATCCCAAGCTTGCATAAAAAATAGGCATTTGCCTATAAATCACAGCCTTAGTAATATCTTATCTTAGATCAGATTTGATCTTAATTTAGAATTTTTTGATTAATAGAAATATGATGGGAGGTCGATATCAGGATCCCGCAAAACCCCCATTACATTAAGCTAGCTGATTAATTTATTTGGCGGTAATCCGTTATCTGTTTTTGTTATTTTTATATTAGAGGGGTAAAATAATTTTAAGATGCCATTAGGATTGTAGATATATGACTCTAGCTCTGAACGATTTTTTCTGCACTGATGGGACGCAAAAGAATGTTTTAGATCCTAATCTTATAAATTTGTTTTACCAATACAAGAATATTTCAAAATAACCATTAAATTTTGGATTTATGTTTAAATGTTTTAAGCACCAATTGGACTCAATACACAAGCAATACAAACAAATCCTCAATCTCAATGTATTTTCCCTACTTTTTGGGACGAAAGTGTTCAGTTATGTTGTTCACAAACTCCAGTATCGGAAGAAAGCTCACTTTTTGTTCAACAATATCAGCAATTGCCTGTTCCTTCTAATCAAGCAATACCTTCACGTTGTCGAAGTAATTTAATTTTTACTTGAATCATAGAGATGATCCTTCTCTCTCATTTTGGAGAAGAGCTTTAAATCTTCTCATAAAATAACCAGGAAATTTTATTGTTTACTATATGTATTAGGTTTTGGATTGACCAAAAAATGGAAAATTTTAATTAAATTCTTTCTATTCTCTAACTAAATTATACCCCCCCCCCCCCCCAACCCCACAATAATTTTAAAAGGAGCCCCACATATCTTTTCTTCAAATCGTTATGAATGTCCAAGTACTATGGTTCTTTGCGAGGCAACGACACCAGAGGCTAACTACCATTTATGTTGCAATCGAGTAGAAGGCCAACCAGATTGCCCTAATTTAAGTGGGCAACATTCTTCTCAAAGCTATACAGGGGTCGGAATTGACTCTTTGGGAGTTCCTTGTACAGGTAGTGAAATGTGAATTAGTAACTAAATAATTTTGAATATTTATGAAATTAAAAATAATTTAAAAAATTCTTCTTTCTAGCCCCAGACGCTAACGGAAATTGCCCACCCGGAAAGGTTTATTTACCAGGTCCAAAATGTTGTATTTTAAGAGGTTCTCAAATATTTTTAATTTATTTCTTAACAATTTAAAGGTTTGGGGTATTCAATGCATTCTTTTCCCTCGTCTGATAAAATTGATGAAGTACACATTCCTTGTATAGATAGGGCTGTGCCTGGTCGGGAATCTGATTGTCCCGCAAATGAGAAACTTTGCAATGATAAAAATTATTTTGATTTGATGACTGTGCAAGTAATGAGATTAATTTTTTGGAGTTTTGTATTGGGTATCACGGAATCGAGGTTTTTGAAAAAACCGATTGGCCTAGGTGAAGCCTCTACTTCGTGTTATTCTATTTTATATTAAGGATTCTTTAATTAAAAAATAATTATATTTAATTAGTGCCCCTTTACTTGTAAACGATGTGGCCAAATACCAGCAAATGCAGTTATCTTCAATGCAAATATTCCACAACTACTTGGTTAATATTTTATAAATAAAATGTCTAAATTGCTCTAAAGGCCGCTTAATTAGCTCAAAATTTAAAAAATTTATTTTTAAAGGTTGCTTTGATCGTGTAGGATTAAACGGCCGCTCTGATTGTCCAGACAGAAAAGCTTATTGTTTATTGCCTATTTGGGATGCCTTTTTACGTTTTGAATGTCCATTTACTTGTGGATTTTGTGGAGATAATTTAATATTTAATAATGAAACTATTAAAAATAATTATTTTCCTTTTAAATTTCCAATTCTACCAAGTTTAGTAAATGTTAGAAATTAGAAAAAAAATTCTTATTGTTAATTAAAATAATGAATAAAAATATTTTAATTTTATTGTAAAAAAATAGAGGAACTTTTCTTAGTCATAAAGTTCGGAATCAACAGAATTACACAAGAAAAATAAAGAAGAACGGAGATCGGCCCGAGTGATGATACAGAATGGGTGTTTTTAACTGTAAC